GCCAGGCCAGGCTGTCAGCCCCCGGGTGGTTGCTGTCGTCCTGCAGGCCTGGCACCAGCCCTTCTTCAGGATGTCGTACATGTTGCCGCACTTACACAATGGCTGGCAGGGGGACCAGGCCATCCTTTCGGAAGAGGACCGGGTCGTGGTTATCCGCTTTGGGCACGACTGGGACCCGACCTGCATGAAAATGGATGAAGTTTTGTACAGCATTGCTGAGAAGGTAACCTGGAGCTGTGGCGTGAGGCGGTCGCTTCTGTGCTTAGCGCTTCACATGGCTCATTGGAAGCCTCAGGCAATGGCTGGCAGGGGGACCAGGCCATCCTTTCGGAAGAGGACCGGGTCGTGGTTATCCGCTTTGGGCACGACTGGGACCCGACCTGCATGAAAATGGATGAAGTTTTGTACAGCATTGCTGAGAAGGTAACCTGGAGCTGTGGCGTGAGGCGGTCGCTTCTGTGCTTAGCGCTTCACATGGCTCATTGGAAGCCTCAGGCAGGTGGCAGCGTGGGTAGAGGTGTTCCTTCTTTAGGAGGCAGCGAGGAAGCTGTTTGATTTGCTTTTGAGAGTGTCTCCTAAAGTCATCGACTGCCTGAAACCAGAACCGCTGCCTGGTAAGAATCCATCAGTTAATGAACGTCAGCGTTCAAGCAGAAACAAGAGCTTGGTGGCAGGACTGCTGTGGCTGCAGGTGATGCAGCGCTGGCACTTCACCCTCGGGGTGTCTAGTGACTTCAGGTTTCCATTTGAATAACTGGAAAAGGTACTTTCAGTTTGACTCTTAAAAATGGTGAAATCCTAAAATGTACAGCCTGGTGTTGATTAATTTGTCAGTGATACTGTTTATGGAGGCAGGTGGCATCCCACTGAGTTACCTGGGCTGAGTTAAATCCCCCCCCTCCCCCCGGGGCCCCGTTAAACCCACCCCGGGCCCAGTTAAATTTTAGGAGCCAAACTCTGGAGCTGTTTTCAGATGGAAACCAAATGTCTGCTAATAGCTGGTACCTCGTTTAAGAAAGGTAGATATTGAAGGAAAATCAGACTGTGAAGGTGCACAGTCACCTATCAATGACCTTGCACTTGGGAAAGGTTTTGCACTGTGCTAGATGTAGGAAATTGACAGCTCTTCTTTAACTGAACCACATAAAAAATGAAGCAGAAACAAATAAATCTGAACCAGGAACGGTAACTTGGACAGGAGAAGGAGTCAGCTCTCCTCGTGAAGAATGGTGTGCACGCTGCATAGCTTCATACACAGTTCTTCTTGTGGTTACTCCTTTCTCTTTTATTATTTTTAAATAAATGAACTTCTGTCTCTAAACTCCCCACAGTGACAGATCTAATACCTGGAGCCAAACGTTAAGATACAGTAGGATACAGTGAGGAGTTGTGACGTGGTTTAATGTGGTCATTTTGTCTTTAATGTTGTGGGAGTGTCTCATGCTGTCACCGAAATCGGGGATACACAAAGCTCAGGTGCTGTTTGTAGTGTGGCCTCTGGCAGGGTGCTTGGCAGTGCGGAAGGTTATTGGCAGTTAGGGGTGACTGGGGGAAGAAAGGACAATGTAACTTCTTATTTACAAATCTCCCTCTGCAGAAATGGCAAATTAAAGAGGGAAATCCTTCCTCATCCTCTTGCTCACAAGCCATGTTGGGATCTCTGCTGTTTTAAAGAGTGAGTAAAAGTTCCAATTGTACAGGTGTTTATATCCTAGAGAATGATATAGAATGTTAACGTGCTGTAAGTGCAGAAAATGGAGCCAGATGTTACATTTGTTACCATGCTGCCATATTCTTTTAGTCTGCAGTGTCTTTTTGTTTAGCACTAATATTTATTTGTACTTTATAATAGGAAAAGAGATTTTTTTTCAGTTTAAATCCTTTTTTGGGGGGGGAAAGAAATGAGTACACTCTATGAACCAGTAGAACACTCTACATGGACCAGTTAGAACAAGTCCAGAGAAGGGCCACCAGGATGATCTGAGGGCTGGAGCACCTCTCCTATGAAGACAGACTGAGAGAGTTGGGGCTGTTCAGCCTGGAGAAGAGAAGGGTCCAGGGAGATCTTATAGCACCTCCCAGTACCTGAAGGGGCTCCAGGAAGGATGGGGAGGGACTTTTCATAAGGACAACTAATGACAAAACAAGGGGAAATGGGTTTAAACTGAAAGAGGGGAGGTTTAGATGAGATATTAGGAAGAAATTCTTTGGTGTGAGGGTGGTCAGACACTGGCCCAGGTTGCCCAGAGAAGCTCCAGGCTGGATGAGGCTTTGAGCAACCTGGTCTAGTGGAAGGTGTCCCTGCTGATGGCAGGGGGGTTGGAACTGGATGATCTTTAAGGTCCCTTCCAACCCAAACCATTCTGTGATTGTATGATTCGTTCTGTGATTCTATGAAAATATAAAGCAGTTTATTTTCACTGAGTTGTACTTCACTTACAGTTGACCATTTTTTTCCTCCCTAGCATTAGGTGAAAAAGAAGCACTGAGGTTCCAAACAAATTATAATTGTAAGATGTTAGATTTTTGCTTTGTCAGGGTTTCAACCAACAGCTAAGAACTGACTTTCAAAAAATTCCTCTGTAACATCTTTTTTAAAAACACACTTTTTCTAAAAGGAGGCTCACAATTAAATTAACTTTAATACCCCTTTTTAAAGAAATATTTTAAACCCCTGATTTTTCTAGGAGTGAATACTGTAAATCAGATAATCTCTTATGAAACCAGATCACTTTAACCAATAGGTTGTATTGGGTCACTGTGGCTTTAGGGAGGATTGTTCAGATGTTTTGCATTTATTTAACTGTAATCAGAAGTGTGAACAGCTGCAGCTTTTGCTCAAACATTAGTTGTGCCTCTGCCTTTTAAGTTTACGTGAAAACTGAGAGGAAAAGAAAGGAAAAGATGAAAAAGAGGGAGCTAAAAAAACCCCCACACTGGTATTATAGTGCTGGTGTTTGTAATTAAAGGTGAGCAAAGCATGTCTGTAGTTGTCAAAATTGTTAGCTGTAAGCCTTGCTCTCAGCAGTATGTCTTTCTCTTTTCCCCTATAGATTTATCACCTAAACTTACAGCATAATTAGCAAGAAAAAACCCCAAACAATTATTGACTGTACAGACTTTCAGACACAGACTTCCTGTGCTTGCAGCCTCTTGCAGTTCAGTCGTGCAAGTCTGCTAGCTGCTTCAGCTTTAATGGTTTGTTGCAAAAGCTGGTCTCCTTTCCTGTATTTTTTTCCTGGTTTTTCCTTGTCCATAAAGACATCTAAGCATGAAAAACGTTTTTAGAACATCTAGAAACTGGTTAGGAAGGTGAGAAGATGGAATCTGAGATCTTGCCTTGGATTTCTGTAGGTATTTGCTGTATGCACTTACAGAAATGTAAAGAAATTTCATGATTGTTGTCATTCTTCATAGTCATTGATGAAGATCAATGACTTCCTTAGGTTGCCCAAGGAAGTTGTGGATGCCCCCTCCCTGGAAGTGTTCAAGGCCAGGTTGGGTGAGGCTTTGGGCAACCTGATCTAGTGGAAGGTGTCCCTGCTGATGGCAGGGGGGTTGGAACTGGGTGATCTTTAATGTCCCTTCCAATCGAAACTATTCTATGATTCTGTGATTCATTCCATGATCATATTTCCGTGGCAATCTCACGTTGCAAATGCATTGATTTCTTTTTTAATGACATTATTAAGAAAGTCAGGAGGGAGAAGCTTGGAGGACAAGTGAGACTGATTTCATCTGGTGTATGATTTTTTCCTGCATCTGTGTTTCTATTTACCAGCAAGTGTGTGCTCTTGGTTAAGGCAGGACCCAGAATCTGTATTTGATGTTACGGGTCCTTTAGATTCCTCTGATTTATAGTCTTGAGCTGTTCTGTTTAAAGATTTAATAGTACACCCAAGCAGATACAGTTCTGTGAAGTACTAAAATAGCCTGGAACTGTGGCCAGGCAGTAATGTACTTCTGGCTTTTGTATACGCCTGTTGAATAATGTATATTAGCTTCACTAATTTGTGAAGCTACAGTAATTACTGAAAAAAAACCCCTAAACAACAACAACAAAAAACCAAAACAAACTTGAATCCCAGCCAATTAAAGTAAGTCTGATAAAATTTTGAATCCATGCTGTTGTTTGACTTTTAGTCTCCTACTCCCTCTTATCCCCATGGACAGCAGCTCTGATGACCTGATAAGACAGGGAAAGTTTTGAATTGAAATTTGCATAAAGGAAGCCAGAAGTAAATACATTCAAAAGTTAACATCTGTCTTGTTTTTCTGCTGAAAATGTTTTCATCTTCCAAGTGTTGAACAAGTGTGGAGCTGTCCACAGGAGTGTCTATCACCAGAGGGTTTGGGTTTTTTTCAGAAAGCAGCTGACTTCCTACAACAAATTGACTGTATTTAGTGTATGTATTAAGTACTTTCCAAATGAACTCGTGTTAATACGTGTTCAGCTTCTAGAATGCCACAAGGTTTGCTGCATATTGTCTGGAGAGTAAATCTTTTGTTTACATCGACAATCTCAGGGCAGTCTCAATTGCCATGATTGCTTTCATGGGGTGTCGTTTGCTTGCTCAGAGTAGTGTTTAACTCTTGTTCCGAGGTCTCCATACTGTATTCCCAGTTCTAACTTTAAAAGTCAGAAAGAAAACTTCTTAGCAACCACTGCCACAGTGAAACTTGTAGGAATGTAGTTTTTGAACTGACAATTAACTTCAACCTTTCAGAGAAGGCTCCGGGGAGATCTTCTAGCGGCTTTCCAGTACCTGAAGAGGCTCCAGGAAGGCTGGGGAGGGACTTTTCATAAGGGCAGTTAATGACAGAACAAGGGGAAATGGCTTTAAACTGGAAGAGGGGAGATGGAGATGAGATCTGAGGAAGAAATTCTTTGGTGTGAGGGTGGTGAGACACTGGCCCAGGTTGGCCAGAGAAGCTGTGGCTGCTCCTCCCTGGAAGTGTTCAAGGCCAGGTTGGATGAGGCTTTGAGCAACCTGGTCTAGGGGAAGGTGTCCCTGCTCATGGCAGGGGGGTTGGAACTGGATGATCTTTAAGGTCCCTTCCAACCCAAACCAGTCTGTGATTCCATGAACAGAGCCACTTTTAAAGCTCTGAATTCAGATTTGAGAGCTGGTACCTAGCCTTGAGGTCTGCTTTAGACTTCATACAAGGTTCTGAGCAGGCGACTCTCATCAGTTTCACTTCTATAGGAGTAGGTAGCTGTGCTTTTATCCCCACACAGGAGAGAAGGAAGGTTCAGTTAATGTCTGAGATACTGGGTTTGCGGTGTTAACTTGCGTGTTTGCTGTGCAACGATGGATGACTTGAATGATCCAGTCCTTTTGAGTAAGATTTATGTAATAGTTTATTTAAAACTTGAGTGGTTCTGTTTTCTAGGTGCTAGTGACAAGCATTTCTGGTTCTGCAACAGCTCAACTAAATTAAATGTATATAATGTAAGGCCAACTTTAAAAGTGTTGTTGTTCCAGTACTGTATGGAGTACACAGTTCTTGGAAGTACAAGTTTGGTTTAGCAGTGCTTTTGTCTTCTGGTGCAACGTGTCATCTCCTCAGGCTAATCCTTCAGTTAACAAAACAGGTCTTAAGAATGTTGTGTTAATGTTTGGTGTCATTTAAAATCACTTTCTAATCTACAAATTAAATAATTGTTCAAAGATTATGTTCAGTTTGTCAGAATTGCTGAATGCACTGTAGAAGTTTCCCCACACAGCAAAGCTGTGCTGCTGATGCTAAATTGTCAGCAGGATGGAAGAAGAAATGATAGAAGAAAATGAAAATGGCTTTTCAGTTAAAAAAAAAAAATCAACAAAAGCAAGAAAAACAAAAAACCCACCAAAAGGGCACCAAACAACCCCCAAAATAACCACACAGCTGCCTTTCCCCTCCTTAGGCTAACCAAGGAATAACTGTCTGATATAATCCTAACTTCAGTCACTTCTCAGATAAATTGTTGACTTGGAACATCCCGTTGAGTTTCTCTGAAATATTTCATGTGAAATTGAAACAGGCATGAGTGCTCACTTCCCAGAGTGTTGGGGTTGGGTACTGTGACTCCGGGAGTTGTCAGGGCTTTACCTCTTGCCTGTGTTGGAATGTGGTTTAAATGGGATGTTGTCACTAGACTATTGACAGCCTAGAGTTATAACTAGCTCCATAAAAGCACACTAAAAACTATTTAAATGGTGTTTCACTCCAGAAGAGATTTTACTTTCAGCCTGGAGAAGAGAAGGCTCCGGGGAGATCTTATAGCGGCCTCCCAGTACCTGAAGGGGCTACAAGAAAGCTGGGGAGGGACTTTTCATAAGGGCATTTAATGACAAAACAAGGGGAAATGGGTTTAAGCTGAAAGAGGGGAGGTTTAGATGAGATATTAGGAAGAAGTTCTTCACTGTGAGGGTGGTGAGACACTGGAACAGGTTGCCCAAGGAAGTTGTGGCTGCTCCTCCCTGGAAGTGTTCAAGGCCAGGTTGGATGAGGCTTTGAGCAACCTGGTCTAGTGGAAGGTGTCCCTGCTGATGGCAGAGGGGGTGGGCTGGATGATCTTTAAGGTCCCTTCCAACCCAAACCATTCTGTGATTCTATACTTTATTTGCTACTAATACTTATTTACATCTTTGAAGTGTGATTATTTTTTTATAATTTAGAAACTCTCTTGAAGCAGAAGTCAATCCCAGTCTGATTTTTTTATAAACAAACATCTACCTACTTTCTCAATTAAAGTTCCTGCTAGGATGTTGAAGTACAGGGTTATACCATGTACAATATTTTTTTTTCTGGTACAGTCTAGTCCAGTTTTGTGGACTAATATAAAACATCTTTACATCAAGCAGAAATTATACTCATCATAGCATTTCCAGATGTTTGATAGCAAAATTAACAAGTAGGAAGAGCTGTGACAAACACTAAGTTTGTCATAAAGCTGAGAGCAGGCGTCTTCCCTCAGGCTGGTGATGTTGTGTAGTTAAATGGGAAGGACTGAAATTGTGTTTTTATGTAAATAAGGATGAGGGGCAAGATTGTGCATTGCTGGTATAGCCCATGAGTACAGTTAAAGGTTTGTGTAGTTTAGATGCCTACTGACTTATATTTTAATGTGTGTCTGTGTGTTAATTTCTCCTGTAGATGAATGAGCTAATTTTAGAAACGAAAACTTCCCCTAGTTCCGCTGAAGGTGAAATATGGAAACAAAACCAAAATGTGACGTGGTTTTCTTTCAGGAATGAAGACATTAACTGTGACATTAAAGGGGAGGGATTCTTGTGCATTTAACTCGGTAACTCTGCAAAATGCAAGCCTGTTTTACCAGAATTGCCCAGAGAATAGCTTCTCATCAAGATCTTTTCTTCATTTTTAAGTCTTTGTTTTAGCTTTACACCTAGCTATCAGTTTTTATTGTTAAATTATCATTTTTATGTTCATTTAATGAGCCTTGTTAAACAAATGAGATGGTTTAGAGGGTGGGGGGAAATGCTTGGAGGCAGGCAGCAGGGCATTTTAGATGATTAATTTTCTGAAGCCTGTAAGCAGCTGACAGCAGAGTCAAAACCTGTCAGCTTGGCTCGCGCAAAGCGGTTTCTCTGCTTGTTTTGAGCCGTGCGTGCGTGTCGCCGTGAGCTCTCAGTTGTATAGAATTGTTTCTCTGGATGTTGATGTAGCATTACTGTCTTTCCAGTCAGTACTGGATGTGAAATTAGCATCTTGGCTATCTATATTTAAAAATATTTCCCATGTTAATTGGTCACTGTGGTTAAAAATAATGGCAAGACTGTTTAACTGGGATTTTGTGACTTAATATCTTTGCAAATAAATATTGCAATAATGATGCCTTTTAATCGGTAATTCAGATAATCAAAGGCTTGGTAATCCATACTGCTTTTATGTTTTCTGCTGTCTAGGTAAAAAACTTTGCTGTTATTTATCTTGTGGATATCACTGAAGTACCAGACTTCAACAAGATGTACGAGTTGTACGATCCCTGCACCGTCATGTTTTTCTTCAGGTACGTGGTGGTTTGAGAATGTAACTCAGTTAAATTTGTCGTGTGTCCAGTACGATGTCTCAGCAGATGATTTCTAAATGCGTTATCAGCATACTGATGGTGGTCGTTTTAATTGCTCTACAAAAGAGTAAACTGATTAAATAGGAAAATGTCTTGTTTTCCAGTTAGCCTCGTAACAGCGTTTTGATAATAGAGTACAAATTAGTGATAATGAAAACTGGTTTTACTGTCCATTGTTTTTAGTTTTAAATACGAAACTCTCCTTATAGAATATCGCAGAAATGCAACAGTCAAGCTTGTCAAACTTGCTGTAAAGAGACACCCAAACTGCTGAGGTTTTTCGGAGCTAAGGTGTGTCCATTGATGAGATAAAATGTGCTACTCATGAGCGTAGAGCTCTTCTCTGGTGGCAGTGGGAGAGAAATATAACCACAGAGGAACATCCTGGAGGATAATTGCACTGAGTAGCAATTTTGGGGGCATGTTTGCAGTCTTTGTTCTGGCATTAGAAATAGGCAGTAAAATATCAGCTTGAGTGACAGGAGCAGAAGCTCTTGCTTGGAGGCTTATTTTGCAAGCCTGTTTGTGTTAGAAGGGCTTCTTTTGAATCCTGCAAAGCAGTCTGGTGAGGGCTATAAAGGTTCTTTCTGAATTATAATACCATGTTAACTTGTCTGTTTTGTTTTCTTTCTTTTTTTTCTCTCCCTTTAAAGGAACAAACACATCATGATTGATTTAGGTACAGGTAATAACAACAAGATCAACTGGGCAATGGAAGATAAGCAAGAGATGATTGACATTATAGAAACTGTTTATAGAGGAGCCCGCAAAGGTCGAGGTTTGGTGGTATCGCCAAAAGATTATTCCACTAAATACAGATACTGACATTTCTTTGGGGCTGCCTTTTTTTTAACCCTACGTCCACTTAAATTTATTATTTTGTACGTGTGTACATATATATATATATTAAAAGAAAAACCCTGCAAATCCTTCAACTTGGAGCATATTTTCAATTATTTAAAAGGTTTGAAGTCTGTTTGGAAAGATAGAAGACACAAAGCCTGGAACTGTGTGACTGCAGTAATACTGTAGCTGAATTTTGGGTTGCTTTCTTATCTTAATTTTTTTAAAGACTTTGTGATGTTTGGTATTATGTATTTTTTTGTGCACAAATGCCTGTTTGCAGAAAAACATTTTGACTGTTTTTGCTTTTGTTACATGAATATCTGAGAAAACTATACTAGAGTTTTTTTAAAAAGAATAAAGTGAGTTCCACTTATTCACCTTAATTTTCTTTAGCTAATTAAACTTGAGAATGAAAACAAATGGAATTGGATGCAAAGTCATAATGCTGAAAATGAAGGCTTATCACTTCCATCAGGATTTCCTTGCATAATATCAATATCTTGGTCTTCTGCAGCCATTAGAAGTAGGAATGCAACTCTAAGGTGCATTAATTAATTAATAGGAGAAAACAGCTTCCATGACTTTGTGCCACACACACCTCCTCCCCATCAGCTTCATCAGCTTGTGGTGATGGATTTCCTTGTAATGGTGATGGTGCACACAGCAGTCAGTTCGAAGTGTTTAGGTTCTGTGGTCCCAAGTGCAGTTCTGGAGCTGGCTGCACGTCCTTGAAGAAAGGATGAGCTGTGCTGTCTGTCCCTTGACCTCCTGTTTGACTAATGGGATACTAAAATGCATCCATACCAGTGAGATTTGGATTGGATTCCACTGTGGCATGGCTTTTGAAGTTTCCCTTTGCATTTCTGACAACTTTTGCTTTGTGGTAATGGAGCCAGTGTTGTGGGGGAAGTTGGGGGGTTTTTTGTTTGATAAGTTTTTTTTAACTGACACCTGCATGTTTACAGGATTAACAAAAACCAAACCAGACTATGCAGAGAGGAGATGCCTGTACTTTTGGTCCAGTTTCTCACAAGACAAAGTAGAATATGCTTTTTTACCGTCAAGTGTTTTTTAGAGGATTTAGAACGTGTCAAGAAAGTACAACACAGTGTCCAAATTTCTGCTGAAGCTTATCTAGTTGATGGTGGTTATTAATTGTGGAATAATTTATGTTGGTAGAGACCACCAACCTCCCAGTCAAAGTAGGTCCCACTTGATCAGGTTGCCCAGGACTGTGTCCAGTGTCGAGTATCTCTTAAGGATGGAGATTCCTCAGCCTTCTTGGAAAGCCTGTTCTGCTGCTTGAGCACTCTCACAGTTGGAAAAAAAAAAGTGTTCCTTACATCTAGCTGGAATTTCCTGGGGTCCAGCTTGTGTCTGTTAATGAACTGTCTTGTGTAAAACACCTCCAGGAAGAGTCTCTGACTGTTCCCCATGCTCTGCCATTAGTAGTTGTTGATTAGAATGATTTCTTGATACTAATGAAGACTCTGAAATAGATGCTAAGTGTTAACACCTGCTGAAGTTTTAAAAAAAACCATATTTATCCTTTGAGATAAATACCCTGGTAATGCCTAAATTGCTGCATTTGTTGTAAGAGATTCCCGTTAAGTTTCAAACAAAATAGTTCATGTACAAGAACCTTCAAGTTGGTGCAGATGTCCCGTGTTCTCTGACTCTCCCCCATCTTGTTCAGGACATGTTTGATAACTAGAATTCCTTATGGATCTTAAAGTCTTTAAAATAAGGTCTTTCATCAAAATGGCTAATGTTGAAGAAGTGAAATTGGCACAGTGGGCATGCCTGGGGGATGTTACCTGCACAGGGGTGCACAGCTTTGGGTGAGCTTGTGAAGAGGAGCAACGGAACAGCTGTGGGCTGAGCAGCTACTGCCGTTCTTCTAGTGCAGAACAGTTTATCATAGAATCACAGACTGGTTTGGATTGGAAGGGACCTTAAAGATCATCCAGTTCCAACCCCCCTGCCAGCAGCAGGGACACCTTCCACTAGACCAGGTTGCTCAAAGCCTCATCCAACCTGGCCTTCAACACTTCCAGGGAGGAGCAGCCACAGCTTCTCTGGGCAACATGTTCCAGTGTCTGACCACCCTCACAGCAAAGAATTTCTTCCTAATATCTCATCTAATCCTCCCCTCTTTCAGCTTAAACCCATTTCCCCTTGTTTTGTCATTAGTTGTCCTTATGAAAAGTCCCTCCCCAGCTTTCTTGTAGCCCCTTCAGGTACCGGGGGGCCGCTATAAGATCTCCCCAGAGCCTTCTCTTCTCCAGGCTGAACAGCCCCAGCTCTTTCAGCCTGTCTTCACAGGAGAGGTGCTCCAGCCCTCGGATCATCCTGGTGGCCTCCTCTGGACTTGTTCTAACTGGTTTATTGTCATTAGACCCATGAAGTTTTGCAAAAGCACCTTGGTAATGAAACATCAAATAAGAGAAGGTGTGTTTTGTAGTGTAAAAAATTTAAAGAAGCGTCAAAATGGGACATGCAAATGGAAAAGTTTTGTCATAGGAGGATCTTGTTATTCTGAGAACATTTAAGTTAAAAAGGCAACAAAGAAATATGATGAACATTTTAATAATATTAAAATCAATGAAATACGTTTTTGTACATTGAAAAAGTTTGTGACTGGGTAAGTTCACTATATAGGATATAGTTTTCTATCCGGAATAGTGGTTTTGCCTTCCCTGAGACTAAGGGCTCTT